TCCATCTTGGACTCGTGTCCTTTATCCTTGTTGTGTTTTTGTAGTTTGTTTTTTTTTTTTTGTCTGTAAACAAAGTTTTGAAATATATATTGTCATAATATATTGAGTAAAGAGGAGTATATATGTATATACCATGTATATGAAGGGATGTTTTGTCTTGGGACACCCACTAGATTGTACATATTGTGTTAACTGTTTTCGTATATGTTTGATGCAGTGTTCTTTGTATCTATTTGTTTTACAGTTGTTGAAATGTTTTATAATGTCCCTGCACTGGGACCTGATAGAGAGCACTTTATTTTTTACATATTAAATATTTAAGTGATATCTGAGTAACTGTGTATTACACATAAAATACTCAGTGCTCCCTCTAAGTACTACTTGGTTTAACACATTTTTTTAAATTGAATTAACTTGTGGGTTTTTCCAAGAGAGCTGTACTTAATGCCAAACGTGGATATTTTGAAGCTAGTGAATGGTCTCTGGAGAGAGCTTAAACTTAAAGGGAACGCTTACTTTTTTTCACAGGCCCTCCAGTTGTCTGTCTTTTAGAAGCCTATAGATTTATATTTTTTTCATGCTTGGAAACCCCACGGTGTGTCAGTCTTTGCAAAACATTTTAGATGTGGTTCATCAGTATACCAGTAAGTATATGTGTGTATGTGAAAGAGTGGCTATGCAGTGTATAAATATTTTGAATTATTACAGTAGAAGAACAGTTGCCTGCCCTGCTGAGGAACGTCAGTAATGTGGTGTAAGTGACCCCTGGTGGGGTGCAGAGAAATTGGGGATGTAGGCCACATACTGGGCAGGCAATTTATAAATAAAGGCTGTTTGTCTCCTAGCCAAATAGGATGGATAGGATATTGGATAGGAATGTGCTGAATACAGTTCTTATACTTCTTGCAGATGGTTGTTTTCCCTCTACTAAATAAGATGTGTAGTTAAATTTATGACCAGCAGCTGTAAACCAGGCCAGTTTATTAAAGAGATAGTGCGTGAGGAACCAAGAGCAGGAACCATCCCCTCAGGATACCAGTTGTACAGTTCCTTTGCAATGTTTGTGGACATACTTAGAAGAGCTTTAGCACAGTTATCTGTGTTACTGCTGCATTCCTCCTGAGAGGTGTTATTAAAATCCTCTTTTTAAGTTATGGAGAACTCTCAGACCAGAAGAACCCTGGAATAGAAAATTATTTGCCATAAAACTAAAGAAGAGATGGTGAAGTTGGAAGAAAAAATTATATAGAAGAGTCCATAAAATTACAGAACTTTTTGAACAGGATGATCTGCTAAGTATATATGGAAGCTATAATATTTCATCTACAGGGCTAATCACACAGTGTGAAGGTAAATTGAAAGTGCCAAAAGTCAGATACATACCAAGACAGACCTAAAAACGACAGTTTTGAATGTTACTTTGCTAAGCTCGTGTTACAGCTAGGATTTGAGCTGTGTGAGGAACAATCTTATGTGGTGAATATATCAGCAAAATGATCTGTGGAAATTGCTGTAGAAAGCAAAGGGAGCTTTAAATATATATATGTTTACTGTCCACAGAAGGCAGCTGTCATACCTGCAAGGATTCACTCTCCCGGGTGTTGATCTATCACCACAAGCTCTGCAGAAGGCAGTGTAACATGTTTATCAGTATTTTAATGCCACAGCTTGTCAGCTGTTACTGACACTACATGTTGTTTGCCTTTGTCTTCAACAAGCTAGGCAATGCCTTGGATATTAATGGCTTATCCAAAACAGTTTTTTAAGTATCTTCTTAACCAGAGTGTTTCCTAACCATATGCTAACAATGGCTGATGATGGTTCTCTGTAGTTGTGGAGTCTGGCAACTTCTATAGGAAGCATGTTGCAGGACTGAGCAGAGACTGTGCTTAGTCCTTCATTTTGTATGTACAGAAGACTCCTAAACAAAGGTATTATGAAAGGAAATAGTAGGCTTAACTGCCTGTCAAACCAAAAATACTTTTTTATTTCCTGACCGGAAGAAAAATCTGTATAGAACATCTGTTAAGTGGAACGCAACCTGAAAGAACAACCTGGCTTTTGTTCTTATGGTCAAGTTACAGCCCTTCAGTATTGTATTTCCTTTCAGACTGCTGCTGTGCTGCCAGAAAATAGATCATCAACTATTTACATTCTCTTCCCTTAGCAGTATGGTTACCATGCATTTGTTTTATGAGTTTTGAGGCTGTGCAAGTGCCTATTTACTTATATACACTGCAAAGTGGAGCAAGCAATGTTGCAAGCTTTGTTCTGTCTAATGAGAGTTTCATTAGTGGACATGTTTTGAAAAAAAGCCCAGGAATCTTGTGGCTTTCTTCTGTTTTGACAGACACACAGAACAGTTTACAATCTTGCATTTGTTTTCTTCATGTAAGTACAGCTGTGGTGTTTTACTGAAATTTTCATGCTTAGGTTATTTAATTCTCATCTATATCTTGACTGGTATGAATTCTTTTCTGTCTTTCCCTATTCCGGTTATTACAGACTGCTATCTACACAATGTCCAAACAGGACTAGTAACAATTCCCTTTTTTTTAAAAGGTGTTTTTTACAAGATAAATGTTCTCTGTGTTGTGCTGCTACTTCTCTTCATCTTGTTTTAGATGTATTCAAAACAAACAAGAATTGTGGGGATCAGTGTTGTTCATTAGATTTTATCACTGTTATTAGTTATCATCTTGTGGAGAGCAACATAGCCACGGATCAAGTACAAGTATGCAGGTAAATTTGTGATGCTGATGTAAAACAATTGCATCTGATCTGATTCTGAATTCTTTATCTTTGTAAACTAAAGTTCATTGAAATTAAAAGCTGCTGATAGTAAACAACTGTGAACAGTAAGATTGATTACAGTCTTTGTGCTGGGCTGTGTATCAGAACTCATAACTAGATATCAAAAGGACATTGTGTCATATGTGGAGTGCCAATAACATTTATAGGGATTATTTTCATGATTACACTAGTTTTAAAGCTTAATTTCCACTTTTATCTACACTCCAACAGTAGACAAATACTCCATTAAATACACAAAATATGTACATGTCATTGATTCTAGTATGTGCTGAGGGCTGGGTCTATGAAAGATTTTATATGTATGCTTGGTGTGTCAAGCACTTAAATCTGAAACTGAGGCACACAGTTTCAGCTTGAACCCAGATGTTTCTTTAGGATGTCTGCTTTCCTTCTTAGACCAGTAAAGCCTCTCAAGGAATCTGTATTTTGCTGCTGAGAGAGGAAACAAATGCGGTCTTGAGTTTGTATCTGCACACTAGTCAGATTTAAATGTTGTTCATTTGTCTGGTTTACTTGTGGGACTTTTTTGGCAGTCACCTGACCTGCTCACTCTTGTTTGGCAGATAATGGTAAGAGTTATTTAGACTGTAGTGGTGTTAAGCACTCTGCTGGAGTTTGGGAGAGGCAAGTTGAAACTCCTCTTCTGTCTTGGTCTTTCACATCTGGTGAGACTAACAGCTGGGAGCTATTATGGAATAGTGCCATTCTGTGGTGTTACAAAGGGATAGCTTTATCCAAACAAGGTCTTGGTTGCCTTAAAGGAGACGAGGCATACTTTAGTGATTGAGAGGTATTTCATCTAAATTAGGTAAACTAAATGCGTAAGCCTTCTCTGTATTCAGTGAAGTAAATAGCAATATTGTAGGTTGGGTTGAATTGCCTTCTGGAGATGCCTACTGCTATTGTTTAGTAGAGGGGAAGCCCAGACAGCTATTTTAAAATGAAGTCAGGTGAAATTAGTCTAGCCCTGATGGGTACATTTTAAATTCCAGCCTAGGTTTGTATCCAGCGACAATCTACTTGCTCAAGACAAGCCAGCTGATTCAGCACTTGCTGCAGAGCACCCCATCTGTCTCCCAGGCCTATCTGATAGATACACCTTGGCCTCTGAAAGCCTCACAGCAGACCTGGGCCTGGCCTGTACTCTTTGATTCTCTTGAAAGCAGACCTGAATAAGGCAACAAAACCCTTCCTTCCTTGCTGTCCTGGCCCCTTCTCCCCTCCCAAGGCAGGTTTGTGTGAGGCAGGGGAAGGCCAGAAAAGAAAAAAAAAAAAAAAAAGCTGAAGTTGGGACAAAGGAGAGAGACTGAGTGGGTAAAATCTTAGTGGTAAGGCTTCTGATCTTAATTTTGGCCTTTAAATCCCAGACTGTTTACTTTTTCCAGTGAATGATGCAAAGTATAGAAAAAAGCTGCATAGGAGCAAGGGCTGTATTTTCTAATTAGAGTGTTTTATCTTTTAGGCTGTTCTTTGGTGTCCTGTGCTGCCATTACCATGCGGGTGTTTTACAGAAAGCAAAAGTTTCAACAGCTGAGGTTGCCAAAACCTTAAATACCCTGCAGCCAAATTGTTTAAAGAAGATGTGTAAACAAGGTTTCTTGCCTTCTCAGGTGACTGTAATAATCTTTATCCTGCTGGGTTTATCAGCTTTTATCTGGCTAGATCCATCTGCTGTCCTTTCTCAGGAAAAATGCTAAGCTTTTTTGTACCAGTCTGCTTGGAAGTGTATGAGAACTGCCTTCAAAGGGTGTGTTAGGTTTCAAACACACCCCTCCCACTTCCTGTAGGTGGGACACATTGGAGAAATAACTCTTTCCATAACCCTGTCTCTCTGTAGAGGGAGCCTAATGGTGGCTACCCTTGTGGTGGATAGGGCAAGTTAAAAAGTCAGGTACATCACTGTTTGTGATGCCATCTCTTATCCCTTGTTCCTGACCTATATGTAGTGCCAGTGGTTTGGCATGACCCGGCTTCATCTAGTTCTTGCTTCTTCAGGTGCTGCCAGTCATAACCCCCCAGCCTCCTGAAAACACAGGGAACTGATTCCCTTAAAAAAATAAGTAAGTTGATCTGAAGGCATGAGAGAGAATTGTTACCAGGGTAGCCTTTTTGAAAAACATTTTTTTTTTCATTTAGTAATTTTACAGTATCCAAATCTTCGTTCGCAAAGCCTAGCCATGAATTTTACAATCCTTCAGCAATTATAAATTCTGTAAAAAGGCCCTCCCTGATCATTAAAATGTGGCTTGCACAGTGGTGTTTGAGATCTTTCGAATGCCACCATTTTTTTTTCAATACTTACGTAAAAAAGAAGTCACAAGTCTCACCTCTTCTTGCAAATGAGGTGGCCTTTATTATGGTAAAGAGATCAATAATTAGTCCCACTGGGAAATCAGATACAGATATTCCTCTATAATAAGAATAATTGCTGAAAAATCAATTCAGATGCGCCTGTGTCTGTGCAATCAGTCTGCCCTTTCTCCACAGCTAGTCAAGGCTCCTCAGTCGAAAAGTATCAAGTCCTTCAGGGATTACCTTCTGTGTCTGAGTCCTTGAAAGTTTTCCACATGCATGTTCATGTACAGAAGTGCTAAGAGTTTCTTCTTTGCCAGCATATCTTCTTGACAGACTGTTGATTACTTTTTGACTTTCGTCTGGTGCATTGTTTTGTGTGGTTGGCAATCCTGATGTGGCTGATTCACTGACACAAACAGAGGGCCTGTACAAGTGGAAACACTTTCTACTTCGGGGTTTAGACTCTGGTAAAAATCAGAAAAGCAAGACAAATAGAGCTTTCTTCAAAAAAGTGTTAGGATGTTGCTTCTACATTGTCTGATGGGAGCAGAAGTGTAGTAAGAAATCTCTACTTCTGTTTCTTTGAGTTATTTCTACACTGGCTTAACCAGAGCAAACTGCTGTCAGCAGCTGGAGTGTGTTACATGATCTTCTGAAACATTTCTTCCCATTTAGTTCCACCAGGAAAGATCCATTTCATCCAGTCAAAGATGTGAATCAAAAGCAAAGTAAGAGGGAGAGTGTAATAAGGAGGTTGACTTCAGAAGTGAAAACATTACCAGCTCTTTCAGTCTTAAGAGAAAGTCTTGTCTGGTAGTGCTAAGAATTATAAATGCAAATTCTTAAAATCAACATTATATGTAATACCTCTCTGGGTAAAAAAACAATCAAACCCCACAGCCCTGCAATCTAAAACCAGGTCCTTTATAATGAATGAATTATCTAATGACAAGAAGTAAAAGCCCTCCCTGTTTCAGCTTTGCTCAGAAGATATTTTTACTGGCTATTTAAAATACCAGTTAAATGGTAATACCGTGGCCTCTGGTGGAGTGCTTGCCTTAAACAAAGAGGTGTTAATTGCAGTCTAATTGTGGTTATCTGAACAGTCAATAATGAAACTTCCCCAGGTAACAATGTAAGTATTTGTTTGGGTTTTTTTTTAAGGTAATTTCCCCTCAGTGAGGGGTTCTTTATTAAATGTGCATATGGGTCACTATGTACATAGAGAGTCTCCTTTATTTTTAATCTCTGGATATAATTTTCTAATGTGCTAGAGTGACTGTTTGGTGATTTAGACACACTAAGACAAGTAGGAATTTCTCCATCTTGCCTTTTCATCTCTTCTTTACCCATAGAGCCAGCATTCAGTCTACCCACTCATGAAGGAGGAATACAATTCTTCCATTCTTCATTTATTTCATCCTTACACATAGCTTTGAATATAGGGATTAGAGTACTGTGTATCAGCTTTGGCTGAATCCCTGAATTTTGAGGAAGCTCTTTCCCCTGCCTGTGACCTCCAAAGTTTTGTTTCAAGCTTATAGCACTAACCATTAGCTGCATTTTTCTATAAAGAGACAAAACACTTCTCATAACTTCCTTACACTGAGGAGGCAGCAGAGTTGAAGTTACCATTCCATCTGTAGCTATTCATCAATGCCTTCCCACTCTGCCACCCACAAAATGTAGTTCAAGCAAGCAAATATGCAGCCACAAGAAGAAATTCACATTTCATTTTGAAGTTAACAGAGCTTTTCATTTTCACTTTCCAACTCTTACAGATTTTCTACCTAGACAGAAAAAATCCATAACATAACCTTATACACATGGATAATGCCTATTCTGTTTCTGGGGTTATATCAAGAAAACCCTTGCCAAAGGCTATAGCCCCTGCAAATTTACAAACCCTAATTTTTGCACATGAGCTTTGATTTTGACCATCCACAAATCCATGGGACCTGATGAGATGCATCCCAAGATCCTGAGGTGAGGAGAAAGATAAGACTGATTGGGAAAGATTCCAAGCGTGGAGGGACATCTATAGAGCTTGAATTGACTGTTAATTTACTGGACTGTCTGTTATACCCCAGTTTATTGTTGGCTTTATGTTAAATTTAATGTACCTCCATATTATTCCCCTCTATCCCTCAGACTTTCCTGCCAAAGTTGTTTACCACCTTGTTCTCCCCTGCTTTCCCGCTCCTCTGTCACTGATTGGCTGGAGTTTGCTGCAGTGCAGAGAGAGCTACCATTGGTCCCTTCCCCTGGATACCCAGAAGCTACATCCACCTTTCCCCTGTCTCCCAATCCTGTCTCACCCTGAGTCATCAGTCCCATGCTCCTCCCCAGTTCTGAATCCTCCCCTCAGACCTACCCTATATAAGTCCCTGAGTCCTCTCAATAAATTGGCATTGCTTCCAGACCCTTCACCTGTGTCCAAACCCTTTTCGCAGTGCTGCATCCTACACCCTTTTCCTTTTGGGCCGTGGAACTGAGGGATCTAGGAGATGTCGCTAAGTTGTTGAAAAGCCGTGGCAATCAGATGAAGTCTGTAGTGACTACATGCTCTGTGCATGATTTTCTGGAAAGGGAGTGAGAACTTTCACCATCATTTAGTCCTCTTCGCACATCCTTATTTGTGTGGGGCCAGCCTCCTGCCCTATTTTGCTGGCTGCAAGGTCTCTCTTGTCCACATCACTCTGAGCCTTTTGCTTGTGAATCCACGTCACAACTACCTCTCTTGATGGTGGATCATCATCTCCCCCTCCTTGCTGTTCCTAGTTCAAAGCTCTTCTCACTAGGCTTGACAGACATGAGAAGCTGTTCTGCCACAGTCAAGTCACGTGGGACCAATTATCCATCCTTATCTTCAAAATGGCCTGGTGGTCATAGAAGCTGAAGCCTCTGAGACCAGCTGCAAAAGTGGTGGTTGATCCACAGGATCTGTCCACTCCTCGAATTCCTCTTTTTGCTGGCAAATGGCACCACAGGACCCTGGTGCCCTTGGTCCTCACCTCCAGAGTGACACAGTCATTCTTGTTCTGCTCCAGGTCCCCCCTGGCCACATGGGTGGTGCTTGAGTTGGCCAAGAACCAGAGAAGCCTTGTCAGCCTCCCCACAGAACCCATGTGAAGTAGCAAACCTCTTTAGACTTGGGTCAGTCTGGTCACCAGGACCTCTGCCCACCACAGGCAGTTCCTCTTTGCTCTCACTTCCCATCTCCCCCTAGCTGCTGCTGCCAGAGGCTCAGAGGCTGCCAGATGTGGAGGTGTCATCAGGTCGTGATATCCCAGCCCCTTATCTGCTACCAGGGCTCTGAATCTCTTTTATAGTACAGATCTGCAGGTGGGGCAGGATACCCTCCAGTCTTTGCCCCTGTGAGTCTGCATTTCCCACACCTGGATGTGTGCACGGACTTTGCCTCCATCCTCCAATGCAGCAGTTCAGGCTCCTGAGTCAAGCTGACATATCCCTTACTGCTACAGTTCGGAGATATGATTGCCCAAGGTCAGGCACAGGTTAACAAGACTCAGAAGCACTGCCCTGGACTGTAATTAAGATCGGTGGATTGCTGGAAATACTCTCCTTTGCTCTTGTAATCTGTCTACTTTTCCATATACCCTAATGGTTCTGCAATTCTATTACGGTATTAACCAAACACATGATGAAAGTTTCATTTTCTTTATCCACCAGCTGCAACATTGATCTTAAAGGTCTTATCTTAGATTATGCGATCCTTTGCTCTTCTGTTCTTGCCCCTCTTTCTGATGTTGTAAACTCTATCTGAAATATTAATCAATAAAGTACATCAGAAATAGCCATAATGATCTCCTTGTATTTGTGCTATAGTGGTCATTTTAGATGTTCTGTCAGTGGGACTCACGTCATAGTCTAGAAAGATCTGAAACTAATTGTACCAACCACCTAATTCTCAAATTGTTAGTTTTTTTATTCATTGCAAGAACGTTTCTCTGTTTTGGAGCTCAAGATACACTTAACGTACGTATTTCACATCTGAATTAGGTTTGAGAGAAATACACAAATCATAGGAAACATGAAAATTTGATGTGTCAAATTTTACTATTCGCAGAGCTGAAAATTAATACAAATAATCTCATGGTTAATCATTAGAGATTTAACCTTAATAAACAGTTGAATATTAACAGTGCTTTGGGGAAAGAAATCATCCATATTAAAAGCTTCCAGGGTACTGTATTCTTTAAAATTACTGACCATTGCTAGTAAGTTTAGAGAAATCAATACTTATTTTTTTACATATGACAGCCCATGCAAACATTTGCAAGTAGATTTCTTTTAACCATTTAGGCATTAAGCTGTCACAGTCACACAGACTCAAAGAAGAAACCAAGCTCTGAATTGTCCAAGGGAAGCATTTCAGCAGCTCACTTGCTGTTCAACACATTTGGAAGTGCAGCTCCTTCCAGTGACTCTAACTGCTTCTCTGAATATCTGACAAGAGAAGTAACATTCCTCCTCTCCCCACCCCCATCTTCTACGCAAGATGGAATGGAACCCTAATTAAAAGAATGTATCTCTATCATATGAGAAGGCTGAATAGCAAAGGAGAACAGAAAGCAAATCAAACAAAGAAAAAAGTGAATTTACAAAGCAAAATGAATCTGAGCTTTGTAAATAAACATCTTGCACTTCAAGAAGTACTTTCTGATTAGAAAATAGTGTAATGCTTGCTGCTCACTCCTAAAAACCTCTTCAATTTTAGCTTTCTAAGATCACATTAAAAGGCAAAACCAAGAGCAGTTGGTATCTAAAAAGTAGCCATGGAAATAGTAAAGTATTTAAGAGACTGAAACTTACAAGAATATATAATAACTTCAATAGGGCTGTTTCTTGGTGACACGTATGCAGGGAAGAAATAATCATGAAGAAGGAGTGAGGATAATCCATCAGAACCTCTTTTTTCAGCCACATTCCTCTTAACTCCATTCAATAAGTACAGTAATTTGTTTTGTCAAGTTTTACTGGAGAGCAATTATTTTTTATGTAATACAGAATATTTGGTGTAAACAGACAGTGCCTCACCATCTCATTAAAATTCTTAATTGATAAGCAAAAAGCTAACAACACCTAAACCAGCTGGTACTGTGGCACATTTGCATCCCTGGGTGGAAGACCTGGCGCAAAAATGGAGATGTGACATCCCTGCGTTGGCTGGAAAGCACCAAATGGGTGAGACCTACCCGTGATCATACACTGAATAATTATAAAATAGATACTGAATTTATTTCATGCACTCTGTGCAGTGTACTGTCATGATGTACTCAGTGCAGCAGATGAAGTGGGCTTCCCTAGAAAAAATAGTTTGGGGCACTGTCATTAAAGTTGCATTGTAAGAATTGCAGAGAGGGGCGTAAATTAAGATTCTGAAAGCAAACTTAATTCTGTAATCTCCTAACTTTTAAGTGATTTGTTTTGCAATTATGCAAATGTCAAGTCATTCTTAAAGTTATGGGGGAGAAGTGAAAATACTGTAATCTAAAAATATTCTTGCCTTGGTTTTGAATTTTTTTGTATATATTGAAAACATGGATTTTTATAAAGAAATGGCAGACTGTCAGTGCATCTGTTTATTCAGTATGTTATTACTACAAACCCATATTTTAAGCCTTTAGGTTATGAATGGAAAACTAACTTGACTCACAGTAAATGTAGGCAAATTTCAAATTAAGGACAATGTCTTTTTTTGTAATTATGAAAATATAGGTTGTGGTTCTAATAATAAAGTCTGGTTTGGGTTTTATACATAAATAATGTTGTGATGTCCCTATCAATATTTTTTCCACCAAATTATGAGTGATCCTTACAAGTACAGATAACATACTCAAAAATTTTAAAGCAAATTGGGTAGTTTACAAGTAAATCGATGCTTTAAGAGACATCACACTTTCTTGTGTTCAGTATGGCACTTGAAATAATAAAAACTCTTTAAACTTCACACCCTCTCCCACTGTGACAAGGTTAGATTTTTTCCCACTTGCACTCACATTTATGGAGTTTCTCTGGAATTTTGAAAATGCAAAAGGACAGTCATCTATGACTGTCTGAGCTTACATCCTTGAAAACTGTCACAGCTGAGCATATGGTGCTTTTCTGATAAGTTCATGTTCACTGATAAGAGTAAATTAATTCATTCAAAACAAGATGAGGAAGGCTGCACTGTCAAAGAAAACATACCAGGTAAAATTTGTATTTTAAAAACTTGTCCAGATCATACTAGCATATGGAGGACCCACAGGGTGATCTGTTGTACTAGCTCACCGATGTACACTCCAGGCATCTCTGTTCAGTCACTACCAGTGACTGTCCCAGTGCAACACATCTGAAGGGAAGAGCACAGTTTTAAAACACCATGCTGTGCTTTGTGTGTGTTTTCGTTTTCATTGCAGCTCACGGAGTATCACCTTCCTGTGCATGTTTCCCTCTGGCATTATGGTTAATGAATAACTGCACCCTAACTCTTCAGATGTATTTATTTGGAATTTGACATGATTTATTGAACCCTTAAGATCTTGGGAAATAATTCCCCAGCCCTTTCATGCCAAGAAAAAGACTGAGTTAGACCTTACCCTTCTAGATGCAATAGTTTTGATAGAGTTCAGCAAGGGAAAATACAATTTTCTGTTTTGAGAGCTTTCAAAACTGACCTCCTGCTTATTCTGTTCTGGATAGAGAATTCACCTGCAGATTTAATTACAGGAAGAATATTGTCAACCCTCCCAAGTCAAATTTAGTGAAAAATTTAAAACAGAAATCTATCTCTCATATTAACAACTCCTTTGCAAGCAGTACCAGAGAGATGGAGCAGTTAGTTCCAGACAAAAGAACTGAAAGGCATTTGAGGCTGTGCACCTCTAACAGTTCTATTAGGGGTACTTGGTTCCATGGTAGTTGTATGTGTTGCTCAGACATCAACTACGTTTCACAGTTCCAAGACTGGAAAAGAATGCTGTTCTAATATGCTTACAAAAATCAGAGCTTTGAAGTCCTTTTTGCTCCTCTGTGATTAAAAGAAATGTTAAAATAACATTTGATCTATACAATACAGGTAGTTACTTACCAATACTAGAATTTCTGCAAACCAAAACCAGTAGCTAATTATAAGTGATGAGTGAGGAGATTATTTTGCAAATGCTCCAATTACTTCAGCAAATACTAACTCTGTTGCAAATAAAACTCAGTGGAAGTTTGAGAGTACTGCAGAAATAAAAACTCTTTGATTACTTTCTCATATGTAATCAGTGGTATATGATATTCTGACAGGATTTCTGGATGTTTATTTTTGGAGAAGACAGACTTAAAACTGCTTGATGAAAAACCTGTGTCAAATAACATACTTAGTTTTAGCAAATAAATAGTAATAATAATGTCCAAGTGTGCTCTTTGGACGTGAGCCTTAGTGCGCAAACTCAGTCTAGATCTAAATTTATACTGTAAAATATCTCAAAAGTCTTGCATCAGCAATTTCCTAAGTCTTCAATAATTATGTGTTTTTCATCTCACTTTCCATAAAGCTCATGCAATGTGCTTTGACAGTAGCTGCTTCTAGGACAACAACTTTTTGATTGCAGTATTTAATCCACCATGAAACTACTCTGATGATCTAAAAACTGTCAAAAAAAAGGGCTAAATGCACCATTAAGCAGCATCTGTATTAAAGCTCCATGCTCTGGGACACACTGGTTTTATCTGTTCTAGCAATTTTGCCAGCTCCTTGTTAACAGCACATCTCACCTTCTCTTTCTCACCTTCATCACTCTACATGACTTTTAGACTAGCAGGTAATCCAGTAAGCCCCTATTTTAGCTGTATGAACTTAAACCAGATTGGAACTCATCATTAAGCATTTCCCAAGAATGCACTGTGCTTTGCAGAATCATAGATACGTTATATGAATGACTTTTCTGCTGTGTTATCTTCCTTTTCTATTCTCTAAAATTTCCTGTGGTTGATTTTGGGGAGGAGTAGTTTGCCTGGGTTTCCAAAATCCTCACCAAAATCAGAATTCAATCTCTGAGAGCATAAGGATGGGTGGACCAGAAGGTACTCCCCATTACTCAGGTGTTCTCAACTTAAATATCTTTAGTAATTGGACTACAGGAGAAAAAAAATTAATTCCATGAACCTCCTCTTCATTCTGCTCCTATCAGTGTCTCACACAATTTTATTTCTTAGCTACTGCTTCTGGAGTGTTTCACAAATAAAAGCTTCAGCATAAAATTTTGAGAACAAAACTTAAATTTCAGGTGCACCCACAGTAGCTTGTTGGAAGAATGCAGACATAAAGTGACAGCACTAAATACCTGTCGCAACACAGTTCAGTAAAACAAACCTTGTGTAGTACAAGTGGATGATTCATGACCAAGTATTACTGATCTTAAGACTTACTACTCTCTAACAGAAGGAAGCAAGAGATACTCTGCATTTATTTTTGTAAAGGACTTTATTTCAGCTTAGTACACAAAAATAAGGCAGGATTTAATTAACTTGTTGGTCAAATAAAACTTGATCATGGAGAAGGTTGCAATAAAATGTCTCATCAAGATGAATTCCGTTAGTGTCTTCAGTCTTGCCAGTCTTTCCAAGTAAAGGTGAGGTAATTTTCTGCCGAAAAGAACTGTTGCCATTGAAGACAACACTAAAGGTAACACTGGAGATAGAAATAGCTCCTTAGAACTGCCTTGCTACCAGAGTACTTCACTGGGATGAGGCAAGTGGAATCCCGCAGCCACACAGCAAGAGCTGTAAAAGTGACAAGATCCATTTGTGGATGACAAACTATC